CTTCTTGTGCACCTCCAGCCTGCTCAGTCAGCAGAGCATGGGAAGCTGAAAAGGCCTTGACTAGTGTAAGCACTGCTCAGCAACAACTAAAACATCGGTGTGTTATCAACATTGTTCTCATCCAAAATCCAAAACACAGCACTGTACCAGCTACTGGGAAGCGAATTAACTCTATCCCAGCCAAAACTAGGACAAAGTGTCACGGGACACGATGTCGGGGTGTCCCAAAGAAGCCTCCCTCCCCTACTCCATTACCCCCCGGACCCACCAAGGCACTTACTTGGAGAGAATTGGGTGGCTGAGCCGAGCCAGGCGCAGGAGGGCAACACAGACAGCAGCAGAGCCGGGCGAAGGTACCGGCTGGGACACCCCTGCAGGGTGGTCTCTGCGCAAGCTGGGTCTGCACAAATGCCGTAGGCAGGACTGGCCCCACCGTGCATCACCGCGACAGGACAGGCACCAGCCCCCTCCCCGCTGGCACGCTTCCTCTTTCTCCTCCACGTCGCGCCGGGGGGCTGCCTGTGTCCTGCCCGTGTCCCTGTGGTCCGAGTGGCCAGACGGGTGGTGGGGAGCACAAGATGACCACCAGCTGCCACCGCCACCGAGCCCCCGGGGGACATCACAGAGACTGGGATGATTTCCAGCTGCCAGCACGCAATGGCACGCTGCGGGGAGGAGGACGCAGAGGTAAGGCAGCCATCAAAAGATGGTTGTGAACCACAGCGGGCAGGTGGAACTGTACGTTCCCCAGGCATGGGACAGGAAGGACACAGCTGACTCCCAGCCTGGTGACATATGCCCCTGCCCCATTGCAGCACCCCAGGGGCACAGGGCACCCTGCATGCCCAGCCCTGCCAGGACCAGACATCCCCAGGCATCGATCACCTTGGTGAGGCTGACAAGCTGATGTCACCCTGTAGATGGGGCCGCCCTACATTGTCCCACTCTGCTGTCCCCTTCCTGCCACCCAAGTGGGTGTTGGGTAGCCCCCGGTCCATTTTCCCGGCTCCCTCCTGCAGGAGAGGGGCCGTGGAGGGGAATAACAGACCCAGTGACACAGCTCCAGCCCAGCCTTGCACTTTGACATGCAGCAGGGGAACCAGGACATGTGCAACTGACCCCAAAAATGTCAGGGAGAGAGCAGTAAGGGGACAAAAGGGACAGCGGGGAGAGCCACAAGCTCTGCAGGAACCACAGACAGAGAAAAAGCAGGACAGACAGAGAAGTGAGAGCTGAAGGGGACAGGAGGAGGAAGGGAGGGGTACAGAGGGACAGAGGGACGGAGGGACCAGGGACAGATGGGGCAAGGGCTGGCTGGGGAGTCCTAATGGTTGCAGATGCCCCCCACCGAATGCCACTGCTCAGCACCTCACCTGTGTCCCCATGGCAGGGTCCTGCCAAGCCAGGGGCTCTGCATCCTCCACGTGACATGGGACCCCATGTGTCCCTGTGCCTGGGGGCTGGGTCATGCTGCCCCACATGTCCCCATACCCCAGGACCAATGTCCCAGCACCCCACATCTCCCTGTGCCCCAGAACCAGTGCCCTGGCACCCCACACGTCACCATGTCCTGGGGCCAGTGCTCTGTGTGTCCTCATGTAGAAGGACTTGGTCCTCAGCATTTCCAGTGTCCCCATGCCGCAACACACCTCATGTCCCCATGTCCCTACCTCCCTGTGTTCCTATGTCCCCATGTCCCGCCGGCCCTGTCTCCCTGTCTCCCTGTCTCCCTGTCACCCCATTTCCCCATGTCCCTATCTCCCTGTGTCCCCATGTCCCCATTTCCCCATCTCCCCATTTCCCCATGTCCCTGTGTCCCCGTCTCCCCATGTCCCCATCTCCCCGTGTCCCCATCTCCCCATCTCCCCATGTCCCCATGTCCCCGTGTCCCCATGACACGTCCCCATGTCCCCGTGACATCCCCGTGTCCCCATATCCCCATGACACCTCCCCGC